AGGATGGTGTTGATATCCATGTCTAACAACGATTAATGGTGGCTCGCTGCGTTGAAGATGGTTTTCCGGTGGCAACTTCAAAAACGGTCTTTCACTATCAGGATGATCCTGCTAGTACATTGGGAGTTCCGTGGCATGGGGCAAGAGGAGATACGATTGGTGTATCTTTTAAACCTCCTGACAAACCACCCACTACAAGCAAAGAACTGTTGTCTATGACTAACTCGTTATACGATCCGTTAGGATTGGTAATTGAGCTAGACATACAAGGAACTTCTTCAGTAAGCTCGTGGATCTATCCCAGAGAAGTGATACTCCTATGAGTACTGAAAGTGGAAAAGATGCTCAGACTGGCGACACCCAAGACAAGGTGGGTGACATTCAAAGTCAGATTGATGAGATTAAGTCCAATTTGAGTCGTTTGACTACGGTGGTTGAGGAGGTTCTCCAAGACCGTGGCTCTCGTGATTGGGTACATGAAGACTATCGTGGGCGTCCCTATAAGAAGAGGTGGGGTAAAAGATATGGTTTTGATGATGGTTGGCATAAGAAGGGTGATGATGGTTGGAATAAGCGCCACTCGAGTGGTAGCTCTGGCAGTCGTTGGTAAACTCTCGCTGCGTGAGGTTTAAGTACTTTTGTCTGGATAGTTGGTGTCATGAGCCTCACCATGATCAGACTTGTAAGTAGAATTGTTACCTCTATTAATGTTATTGTACTTCCGCCACTGTAATTGAGTAGCTTACTGTTTAAGTACACTCGTAGGTGGGTCTGTACACAATTACATTGCCGTGGCGGGGTGTGTTGTGAGCAAACTGAGTACTTGATTTTAGGGCGTGCGCGGTAGTGTTTGCTCTGTGTGATCGTAGACATTCAAGCTAAGTAAGCTAGAGCTTGTATGTGAAGAATAGATAAGGTTAAGAGTTTTTATTGGTTTGTGGTCCTTACTGGTTGGACCATCCTTACGTGAAGTACTATCGCTGCAACCCAAGGCTTGGTGGGTTGATTATTATCTATCCATTAGTATTAATTGGTATTATCGACTGGTTATGTTAATCTAGTGGGATGAGTGTATCTTCTCGCGACATTGAGAACATTGACATGGAAACCCAGAACGGCTCCCAACAAGTGCACGAGCACCAGATGGCTCAGTGCTCTTCAAGCCTTGCAGCGTCTCCGTCGACAGTATACTCCATTTTTTTCTGACTATAGATGGACAGCGTAACGGTTTCTTATGGTTCAAGTTACGGTGTGTGTGACATAAGCAGTTTACTGTTACGGAAAGGCCTTACGACTTTACGGTTGGTGCTTAACTTCTTTCTTAGAATTATGGCGGAAAGATTGGGTGTAATGCACTCCACGATAGCTCAAATAGCTGTTAAACTCAGTTTTTGTTGCTCGGATCCAACCGGACCGCTGAGAGAGCAACATTTGGTTTCGCATTTACCACTCGTCTCCTTTGCAAATTCCGTCTATCTTACGGGGCTTGAAGCGTACGAGTAAAACTGAGCCCTAACGACCCGTAATGTAATTCTGCCCATCTATAAGCATGTAATTCGACCATCCTCATCGGTATTTAACTTAGATTAATAAGTTAAACTTTACCGTTTGTTCGTGTTTGACGGGCAAGTCATGAAAAAGGGCAGAACTCGGGACTCAATGAGCGAATGACAATGAAAATTGTACTTCAGAAGCTCTAAGCCCGGAAAAATCGATTGGTATACCTGTTATGGTATACCAATCGATCTCGACCGTTTCGCATCTATGGTGCATGGAAGATTCTCGCGCACTTTCCAACGTTCGCGTTTGATAAGCAAGAGGAAAGGCCCATACTTCGTGAGACTTCCGGTCCAGCCTCCTGCCTAGCCGTCTGTCTCAGTCTGATTGATGACTCTCGACTGACGATTGTAAGTTTATGAATCTGACGGAACCATTCGCTAAATTCAGACTACAAATCGAGTTCGAATGTGAAAACCTCTCCATCGCGAGCCTGAATACGCTCTTCCAGCTGCATCGCTTTCTCATCAGCCATCCGGGGTGCTTTTTTATGTACCTCGGCGTCATGCTCCGCTTGCTGCCGAGCTAACTCTGATTTATGAGCCTATGATGTAAAAAACATGGGGATGTGATAGATGTCCGATACCATCTCAGTGAGATGATCTCACGTTCAAAGCCTGTATCAGATCACAGCGAGTCCTTCCGAGCTCCTTGCTTGTATAGTCACAACTGAACCACCTCATCACTCGTGCTGGAGCAGGATAGATCACGTCATCATGGTACATTCCAAGTCGGCTGTTAACATCGCGATCCCTTCATAAGCACTCGAATCGTTCCACTCAGCAACAACTACGGGACTCCCATCTAACACCGCCTGAAGGATCAAATGAATACCCTACTAACTTAGTAGGGTAACTCCAGTACTATAGCCCATGAATTCCCTAGTATAGTTCCCTACTATAGTCTATAGTAGTACTAAGCAGTTACAGCTCGAGCACCTGCACACAGACCGCAGTTCCGGTGGATTGCTTCGCTTGAATGCTATACTCGAGTTTATTAACATCCCTATTAGGGATTCCCTAATGAGATTGAGACACTCCTAAGCCTCATGGTGTTCGCATTACAACCGAGAAATTTCTCCTTGAAGTCTCTGCAACTCCGCTCTGGTAGCCTCATGGTCTTCTGTCTATGATTGCGATTAAGATAATGATTTAGTACAGTAGTTTTGCCTACCTGCCGAGCATTCATGTGCTTGCGACGCTCTCTTCTCTTGTTGACCATCAAATTGGAGAAGCTTGATGTTCACGTCGCAAAAATATCGGATTCGGAAACTCAACGTAACAGTACTTGTACCACATACATGAAACATGTTGAGCAAAGAATGGCGACACTTCATATTGGTCCACCTAAACTCCTCGCTAAGAACCTCTTGCTGCTCCGGTGAGCAAGACCCTCGGTAGCCCCGCGGTGAGCTCAAGGGCGACACCCGACCATCAAAGGAGATTCCCTTGGCGCACTCGCTTGCTACCTCGAGATCTACGTCCGTCAGCGACACAATTACAATCGAAAGCTTGGGAGAGCAGGTTCTCGGTAAGCCGTCGAAACACTCGAGGCTAACACCCAGTAATACTAGGGAGAGCCCTTGGCACACTCGCTTTCTACTCCGAGGTCTACATCGCCCTGGCATGTCTCCAACTGATCAACAATCTGGCGGTGAAGTTGCGCGCGCCCAACTCATCGATTAGGTTTTTACTCGAATGAAAAATATGACACGAGTTCGACTCTCCCTCAAATAGCTTCTCTTTGGCAGCCAGTGTGACCCGCCTTGTCATTGTTACTTATCGACTGGCGAGACTAACAACCGAACTATTTGCGTGCTCTCCGTATGATGGGTGACGCTGCTCATCATTGAACAGCCGATAGATGCTTGAGACATCATGCCTCAATGATCATAACACATCAAAGATCACTGCGTGCATGTTTCATTCTGTACTAAAATACTGTCTGGAAAAAATGCACCATGTGTCAAGAAGCCAAGATGGAGCCTTTATCTCAGAAAGAAAAAGCAACGACGATTCTCGCTAGTAGCGAGTTGCTACCACTTGGATTGGGGTCTGGAAGTTCCGGACCGAAGCCCTCGCAGGAGCCTCGGACAAGAATCACATAATATTCAATAACTATTGGTTATTACCTAGAACATTGAGTTACTCAGCTAGCTCTTTCCGGATTCCAAAAAATGCTTTACTTGGAGTGATATGACAAGGGTCATACTGGTGGTAAATGTTAAATTTCTTTGCGCTTTGCTTCTCCTCTTCGCTGTGCGAGGAAGCCCTTCACCATTCCTGGTGTATCCCCCATGCGCTATAGCAAGCTTGAGATAACAAAATCGCGGAGCGAGCTTGCGAGAAAAAAACATTGCTGGGTGCTCCGTCAATGCTTCGGCGCTGATCTACTATCACATATGGGCCACATGACGTATCTGAGATACAGGAGAGGGGAATTATCGATAAACCTGATCGCATTGAGGGCCCCACACTGTCAGGGAACTACTATTGTATGCTTAGTGGACGTGTAAACTGGGGTATCCTTTGAGAAGGGAGATGTGTCTATATGCATTGGTACCGTTCGATCTTCAGAGGAGCTATCGACCGATTGCCTTGTCGTTCATGATATAAAATATTGATTATAAATAGAGGACAGTGACTTCAAGGGAAGTTTCCGCGATAATGAATTCCATGCTGAATTATATCTTGTATCATCCCTTATAATATGGGTCTGCAACGGACCAATGCTCCATTGTACGTTCACCGATCAGTTGAGCAACCCTTTCTATGAGTCAGTTACAGCTATCACTGTATCTTATTCATACACAACCCACGGAGGACTCTCGGTCGCTGAATCGCTAGCACTGGGAGTACTGAGTGGATTCTACTCTGAGACGTTCACGCTTGTGGGCGCGCGCTGCGGACTGCGCAATTTTTCGTAGATACGTCTTAGGAGGATGCTCACGGTCCTCTGTAGCAGGTGACTCATAACCTCATAACTCACAGTCTATTACGAACGTTTTATATCCTCTAGCTTGTCCCTCTTGCCTCGAACATGACCTGAGTCCCTCGGACTGAGAGTCATTTTGAGGTTGTTGCACGTGATCCACGATTTACGTTTCCCGTTATTGAAGGACTTTGCGTAGTAGTGTTTACTCTGTCAAATATCGATAGAGCAACCCGTTGCCAAGAAGCATATGCTATCAGTCTGCATTTCGTTCCATGCTTAATGGCAATAGCTCTGCCAAAGGATGGAGGAAGTTCCTCCGAGGAACCACCGATTTACACGGAGCGGTGATTGGTCATGTTCAGAGCAGAGTCGGCCGAGTCTGATGACATGGATGATGAGGTAGTTTGATGACGAGGAAGTGGGGTGAAGCATATCATTCAGTGTTATACCAGTGTACACCTTGAGTGTACCTCATATTGGAATTCTCACTGTTATACCAGTGTACACCTTGAGTGTACCTCAAATTGAAATTTTCACTGTTATACCAGTGTACACCTTGAGTGTACCTCATATTAGAATTTTCACTGTTATACCAGTGTACACCTTGAGTGTACCTCATATATTAGAATTTTCACTGCTATACCAGTGTACACCTTGAGTGTACCTCATATTAGAATTTTCACTGTTATACCAGTGTACACCTTGAGTATACCTCATATTATATTAGTGTACACCTTGAGTGTACCTCATATTAGAATTTTCCCTGTTATACCAGTGTACACCTTGAGTGTACCTCATATTAGAATTTTCACTGTTATACCAGTGTACACCTTGAGTGTACCTCATATTAGAATTTTCACTGTTATACCAGTGTACACCTTGAGTGTACCTCATATTAGAATTTTCCCTGTTATATTAGTGTACACCTTGAGTGTACCTCATATTAGAATTTTCACTGTTATACCAGTGTACACCTTGAGTGTACCTCATATTAGAATTTTCACTGTTATACCAGTGTACACCTTGAGTGTACCTCATATTGGAATTTCCCCGTGTCATATTAGTGTACACCTTGAGTGTACCTCATATTGGAATTTCCCCGTGTCATATTAGTGTACACCTTGAGTGTACCTCATATAAGGAATAACCGTAGTCTAGATATTATTTGCGTGCACTACGTGGTATTTTGTGGCCTCTTTCCGTTAATTGTCATTAACTTGGAAGCTTCTTGGTCGCCTTACGCGACTCGTTCAGACAGTCGCGGAGATAGGAGAAGAGCGGTAGTTGCCAGAGAGGTACTTGCTTTGAGACGCGCTGTTCGGATTTCCTTCCTCCGTGGTAGTTGGCTCAGAAGCAACGTCTGCTGTCTGAGAATAGTTCATCGCGGACGCGAGTACAAATGCTGGAGGATAGCGCGGTAACATTTCAGTGTCGTTGCTGAACAATTAAGCGTCAGGCAAAAATGAAGAGAGAGTTACGTCATAGTAGCACAAGCGTGAGTCTCGATCATCCTCCACGTGCGCTCCTTACTGTAACGATAGGTTCCAGTTAGCGCTCTGTCTGACAAAAATGCAGAAAGGTCAGAACATGCCCTGCGGAATCTAATGGCAGAAAAGGTAAAATCGAATCGAGAATGTTCAGTTTTTATGGAGCTGATTGATGCTTTCTTTCTCAGGCTGAAGTTGAGAAGAAGGCAGTAGATTCAGAACAGGCTTTACTGAGGCTGAAGGCGGAGAAGGTAAAACCGACTGTGGGTGTGATACTCCTCACTAGCTAGCTGATCATAAACTGTTGTTGTGTCTTTATACTGCAGGGTGAAGTTGAAAGGAGAGCTGAGGAGTCGGAACAAGCATTGGAGAGATTGCAGGCGGAGAAGATCCAAGCCGTTAAGGATGTCGAGGTAACTACGCTATTCCGTTGATCACTCGGGAGTTTTCCTTGCCTCAGACTAAACTATTGGAAGCTAATGTTCAGCATGCGGACTCCCTAATCGCGTTACAGCGAAGATATGAAGAGCAGACTCGTGACGCAGTAAGAACGTTCGCACGATATCATGCGGTCTACATGACTGTTCATCTCCGGACTACAGGTAGGAGAGCGTTCCGAAACGGAGATTTTTGATGAATTTGATGCGGTATCTCCAACCCGAGCCGTTTCTACCCTTCGAACATGTACCCAGAAGCCGAAGTGGACGAGCACTTTGTTCGCATCGCAATCATCCACTTCATCCGCAGCGATCCCGAAAGCACTCAAGAGAAAAACACCGGCTTCGGTTGTCACCGGTAAAAGGAGGAAGAGATTGCGCAAAAGCGCGAAACTGGAAGTCATCGTACGCATGATGAAAGACGGTTGCGTGGGTTTCAAGGTTGATTCGAAATATGACGAGTCTCATAGGCTGGATATAGCTCTTTACCATAACGGCAATGGGCAGAGGGTCTCGGGTGATCCCGAGATATTGGATACTGTGTCCATTGACCCCAAAGGCATTGCTAGGTTCTCCTGGGCTCCTGAGCTATGGAATCGCTGGCTGGGAGCTCACAACGATATGACGCTAAGGGCCATAACTGATCATAACGAATGGTGTGCTATTCAGCGTCTCGATGTCAAGCCCGTAAATTCGGCAAGTAATGAGTGATGTGCATGTTTCGGCTTTCATAATTGAATGTGTTGCGCTCTCGAACGATTGGGCAATGCGTGAAGCTTTGGCAATGATAGAACTATAGTTTTCGAGATCGTCTAAAGATGCCTGGCACTATTGTATGGGTACCGACAAATCGTGTTGCTGGGTTCCCCCCAAATGTAGACCGCTTCAAGGAAACTTTGAGAAGACTCCAGCTGGATTTTATCACCAATTTACAGTATACTAGGGATAACTACGCCGTATACTACTGTGCAGACCATCAGGCTTGCCAGAAAAGGATAAAGATGGTGAATGAGGGGGAATTCGTTCAAGTCTTCGAAGCAGGTCAGAACGGAGTATTGTTGTGAATCTTCAACGAATCATGACCCATCAGGCCAACACAGCAATATTCCGCGAGAACGACTTCGAGCGCGTCATCCGGTGTGGATCACTGGCTATATTCTGGAGAGAATTACTCGGATGAACATGACTGCCAGCGAGATTTTCGCCAGTCTCGCTGACGATCATCGCGAGTACGTTCTAAGCGGCAGGATAACACGGAATCAGGTGAGCTCTTAGTGGTTCATTCGGAATTCCATATAGTCTTTGGCCACGTGCACTATATCGCCGGCGGAATCGCAATAGCTCTCACAGTGAGAGTCTCACTGCGACCAACTGCGAGTCTGATCCAAGGAATATGTCTTCCATGGAAAGCCCACCGTAGATACAGCAGATAATCTCAACGATTCATAGAAGACGCGAGGCGGGACTCCCGCGTATCACGAACTACTATGAATTAGAGATATATTTGCACCATCGCGGCTTACAGACGAGATCTTGGACTATATTCGAGAAGACAGGATTCCTGAGAATGAGTTCATCTATCATGGTGGATATTGGCAATCACCCCATTTCGCTTGCATTGTTGGTGGAGCAAGTAATATCATCAGTATCGGGCCGTGTCGTCCTGGACAACTGGACATTCATCAATGAAGGTATGTTGGCCTCACTGTATTGGTTCATTCGGGCGATGCCTTCCGGATTTGCTTTATACATGGATGCGCAGAACAAGATAATGCGATCAAGTTTGAAAGTGGCATGGGTCGGAGGAATCAGAATCTGGTGAGTAATCATAATCCGATCGAGAGTTTCTGTGGTAAACGAATCCACAGAAACTCGCGCCACCGCAGAATCTGGTGACTCCGGGGATGGTAATGCGGGTACTCGCCTACACTGGTGACTATCATGCAGGCCTGGACTCCAGGCCCTGGAGATAATTCGCGGATTGTCAGGACCCTATCGGACCCTTATCATCGGTCCATGACTAGTAGCAATCGGACAAATGTCAGATTCAGCGAGTGAGGAGTCTGATGAGGGGAGTTCTGCACTTTACGAACGTCATAGTATTGTCCTATCGACCTCCAGTCCTACGAATCGAGGTGGGTTAGACAGTAGACACTTGGGATCTGCTGTAGTGTATTGTTCAGATGTTAACAACAGTGCAGAAAACGTGAGTCCCCAGTCAGCGAACAACAGCATGACAGATAGCTCAGCTCTGTATATGCCTCGCGCTCCTTCGATGGAAAACGGATCAAGGAGCTCCGCAACGGGTGATTCACGGGACCATCAGCTAGGGGAGTCCGCGTATCGGATTCAATCTAGCTTCGGTACAAGTGATATTATACGATTTCTTCAGGGAGTTCCGAACTATATGTGAAGCACTAACGCGTGAGTTAAGTTGTGTATGCTCGATCACACGAAGTTGTGAGCGTCATACGATTTCGAGATCGTGAGGGCGAGCGCTGAAGATAAGTCTGCACGCACGCACTGCACTGGGGTCTCCCCCCCTCGAAGGGATGGCAATATTATGTCTCCGTGTTCCAACTTCTTGCTGGAGCACGATCGCCTCGTCTCATTTTCCTTGAGAGCTCCTCTTCTCTTGAGGACTCTACCCGATCTCTGTCTACTCCCTGGTCGGGACTCCCTCTTAGAAGTCTCCTCGAACACACTCTTGCTCCTTCTCAAATGTGGAGTTCGAGCTCTCTAGACTCTGTTCGATGCGGCCAGTCCGCTCACAGAGTCCAGTTCAGGGCTTACTTGCTCTCCTATTCAACCCTGTCCAATCAAGTAATCTACCACATGGGCAGGTCTTCTCAGACGATTCGTCTACTATTTCCTGGCTCACTGTCGATTGAGTGGTTCGAGCTGATCCAGACCCCTGTTCGATGCGGCCAGTCCGCTCACGGAGTTAGGTTCGGTTCTTACTTCACCTCTCTCTTCAGCTCAGTCGTGCTATTCTTACATGGTTAAACGACAATCTTCGTCTCACGCGTCTTCTCCTCCCAGACCGTCCAAGTCTACTAAATCGGTAAATCCGCCTTCTGCATCCAGATCTATCAGACATCGCAACAAGCACCACTCATCACATGCAACTCCAGCTAATGCTACTGCTACGTCTCCCTCTCAAACTGAGGTCCACCAACCTTTCAACTCGCTGGACTCCAACGACTTCGATTATCAAACTCTCAACCTCCCTGAGAGTCATATACCTGCTCTACCTGGTACGACTACAACCTGCCTCGACCCTCCTGATGATTCTCGTTCTCATGCTCACGAACTTCACTTACCTTCAAAGGTGTCACCCTGTCCAGCCCTTCGAGTTCCCGGTCACCTGGTCGCCGATTTTGGAAAGGACTGCAAACTTTCCTCTTTCCTCAATCGGCCTTGGCACGACTTCCTGCCTCCTAGCTGGAGTCGTATTAAAAACATCACTCCTTCTAACCCCCAATCTCTGGGTGCTCTCAGCACGGCTCTCATGGCCGCCATGGGTCTTATCAACCGCCTCTCCTTGAGCGGTCTCATTGATCCTATAGCCGGTACATGCTTCATGGGCTCCTTGATAGATCTCGGTTTCGGCAGAGACGGCACTTCACGTTGTCGTTATGGACTGGACTGCCTCCTTGTCGAGCTTTTCGCCGCTGTCACTGACGGACGTATCCCAGATTGTTCACTACGTTCTCCCACCAATCAACGATCTCCTATGCTCGAATCTATCTTAACCAGATTCTCTGGCTTCGCACCTCCTCCTCCTCCCGTCTTTGCGACCTCTGCGAAAGGTAAAGGCAAAGGCAAAGGTTCCGTGGTCAAACTCTATTCTACCTCCTCTCCTACTACCGAATCTGCTACTAAATCCGATATCAAACAACAATGATCTATTGTCATCCCTTTTTCCATAAACAGTCCATTAAACCCTGGTTTCATCACATTATGTCTCAACCATCATACTCATTTATCCCACTTCTTATCTTACCTGAGTCCACTTAATTATCGTTTCGAGTTGTTCCACTCTCTTACGATAAAGCTAACATGTTTTTCCTGATCTCACCTCTCCGTAGTTCACACTTTTGCATGTCCGAACCAACCTCTCCCCCTCCTCAGAAACGTGCTCGTCGTGGCACTCGCAGCTGCAGACGTAGTCTCTTTCGTAGACTCAACAAAGCTCTCATTGCACATCATCTCTGCAACCTTCTAGAAATTGCTCTCGAAGGTGATCTCTTCATTCTCCGGCCTACGTCAAATGATCATGTCCTTTATGGATATCCTTTCGAGGGGAGCTCGAAGCATCTATTTCAAACGCTCCAGAAGGTTGACGACTCTTCTCTTTCTTCTCCTTCGGATGTTCTCAGTTGGGCTACCCAGACCGCCTTCTCTACCAGAGGCTCTCCTATCCTGCCGACTATGCTTTTGGGTACTTTGGCTATACATTCAATGCTATCAGAATCAGAACTCATTCTACTGCGTGCACACAATACATCAGTACTCTCAAAATTACTGGTGGACTCTCCTTCGTCAACGTCGCAGGCTCCTACTTTCCCCAAGCTCGATCATTGGAAACTCGGCAACATAGACACCCTCATCAAGCTCTCTCGATTCAGGGACACATCGATAGTTGCCAATTTAGAACGTGGCTTTAACCTCTGTGGCAATATCTCCGACGGTGGGTTGTTCACCGCTTCAAAACATCCTAAAGTCGCCTCCATTGAACCTTCAGCTCTGGCTATCACCAGACCAGCAGTGAATCGTTTGATACGGTATCTCCAAGGACCCATCAGTCATGATCCGGAGCTGAGATCAGCCGTCTGCGCAGATGTTGTTTCAGAAGCTTCTCTCGGTCGAGCTGTCGGTCCTCTTTCGGTCACTTCTGTCATCTCTAAACAACACCCATATTTCATCTCCCCCATATTCGGGATACGTCAATCAGATAAGATCCGCCTCATCTCCAACTACTCTTATACCAGCAACTCTCTGTGTCTGAACGCTTCTGCCAGTGTCTCGCACAAGGTCAGTATGCCTCGTATGACTCATCTCGCCGAGATAGCTCGTCGACTAGGACCCTCACCCAAACTTATCGCCAAGCTTGACCATGAGAGTGCCTATCGGCAGCTCAGAATTACTGAGGAAGATCAGATGCGTGCACTAGGACTATATCTGGATGATCAACAACTTCCAAAAATCGTCAAGCCTCTCACGTGTCCGTTCGGAGCCACCGCAAGCGTTACCAACTATCTACGATGCAGCGAACTCCACTGTCATCTGTCTCGAGCATTCGGGATGGTCAACGCTGTCAGCTATATGGATGATTATATGATCATTGACTCGGCAGCACTCTGTCATTCTGCCTACGTCTTTGTCGAGTTCATCAACGAAGTCGCTACTGGTGGTATCATCAAACACGCAAAAGACGCCCCCCCTGCCTCAGTCAACAACATCCTCGGCTTCGAGGTTCATCTGGAACACGGAGGGTTCGTCATACGGCTACTACCGGCACGACGAGAAAAACTACTTGCAGATCTACTCTTGGCACAACACCAACATCTTAGCATCACGTCCAAGTTCGCTGGACGTCTATCCTTCGCCTGTGACTCCCTCTTCGGACGTGTGGGTCGTGCATATGTTCGAACTATCATTCGTTATTCCCGAGGTCTCCCTATCGATAATGATCTCTTGAACACCTCACTCCGAACCCTATACTCATTGTTCAACACAGCTTCGAGGCCAAGAGATCTGGTTGATGAACTCTCTATCGCCCCACACCCGGTTCTAGCTTTCGCCGACGCTACAGGATCGGGCGGTCTCGGTGTCGTCCTCTTCGACAAAACTCAAGACAGTCTAGCGTTTGGTTTCACGCAGTTTCCCAAGGCTGAATCTCCCCACATCAACTTCTTAGAGCTTTTAGCCGCCGATTTAGCTCTCAGCTCGGCGGCCAAGTGGCGCCCCGGCTCAGACATAATACTCTTCACCGACAATACTACTACTGAAGCTATCATTTGTCGTGGGTCAAGCTATTCTCTCTCCTTGAGCCAAATTGTGGCTAATATCTGGTTACATATCGCATCCTTGGGCATCACCCACATATTCGTGACCCGCATATCCTCCTCATTGAATCCAGCTGATTGTGTTAGTCGAGAGGACTTTACAACTCCTTGGATTAGAAGAGCAAAACGACTATCTCTCATCACGCCTTCTTGGTGGGATTCTTGAGCTATACAGTTCTACTTATCTTATACATTATAACCTTTTATATGGTCTCCCATCTCCGCTCACCATTTTCTCGACTCTCGTCAGAAGTCGTGTTCGCTTTATAATGCTTCTTCGCAGTCATTCATGTCATCCGACTCCTTTACTTTTGACCTAACCAACATCGCTGCGCGGGTTCTCGACCATCCCGAGAAGCTCCTCAGCAGACTCAACGACGACCACATCAATTCTTGGCCCTTATTCGCTTCATGGCTACCCACAGACCTCTTACCCGGAACTCGGCTAAAACTCAACCTCCTCAAGGCCTGTCCCGAGATCCGAGCGCGTCTCTTTACGTTGAACCACAACATCTTCCAGTACAAGTTCAATCTCCCAATTCGTCATCATCTTGCCCCCGCAACCTGGAGATCATACTCTTCGGTTATTACCAAATATCTTCATTGGCACTGGTCACAATTCCCTCATATTCCAGCTCTTCCTGCGTCCGCATCGTCCGTTCGTCACTTTGTGACCAATACATCAGGTCACTCATACTACCTGGCCGCTTTAAAGAAGATTCACCATATTCTTGAACTTCCCGTGCTCTTTGACGACGATCTCACTCACGCGATCAACAAAGGTCAACATTTACTTCATCATGACTGCGCCCGCGACAAGGCTTTTCTCAAGCTCCACCAATTGAACGATCTAGTTCAGATCGCTCAGTTGGATAACCATCATATCTTCGCTGCATGTGTTATCTTGGGTTACGCGTTTAGCCTGCGTCTCCCTTCTGAGCTACTCAACCCCGAGAATCGGTTCATTTCGGTAACTCCAAGCTCCTGCACTATCACCCTGAGAAAGCGTAAAAACGAACGTCGCCCGACTCGACTACGCCGGAAATGCAAATGCTCCACCTGGGGTGCTCATCTTTGCCCTGTCAGAGCTGCTCGCCTACTCCTCACGTCCACATCTACTCTCACCCCCTCAACCTTCAACAATCTCCTCAAGAGGTTTGCCTCACAGACCACTATCTCTAATCCGTCGTCCTTTTCTTCTCACTCTCTGAGACGTGGTCGGACTGACGACCTCTTCCATTTAAATGTCCCTCCACAGTGTCTAGATGCCTCCGGTGGTTGGAGAAACCCTCGCACAAGGTTCTACTATATTGATCGCTCCCACAATCTCTCTCAAATGTAATCATTACCTAACCACTTAAGTACACATGCCCATGTTGGATTCTTGTAACATGAGTCAATACAATTCCCATCTCACCTTCCATGGGGTAACCTCTTCCACTCTCATCTCTCACACCGCGTTGGGGACTCCGATTCGAGTGTCGAGGTCTGACGAGGCTGATGGCCCTCCTCGCTCCCCAACGTTGTGATTGAATGGAGATTCATCATCCTCACCGGATCTCGAATCGATTGTATGCTCGATCACACGAAGTTGTGAGCGTCATACGATTTCGAGATCGTGAGGGCGAGCGCTGAAGATAAGTCTGCACGCACGCACTGCACTGGGGTCTCCCCCCCTCGAAGGGATGGCAATATTATGTCTCCGTGTTCCAACTTCTTGCCCCTCCCACCACACCCGGTGGGGACTCCGATTCGAGTGTCGAGGTCTGACGAGGCTGATGGCCCTCCTCGCTCCCCAACGTTGTGATTGAATGGAGATTCATCATCCTCACCGGATCTCGAATCGATTGTATGGAACATTTTCTCGTATAAAATGAGTGATCAATGAGTAGTGAATTGCGGAATAATTGGAATTGGCCTATCTCACCGGTTATTTTAGGGGATATTCGTCAGGTAGAGAAGAAGAAGGTATTCAGGAGGATAGCACGTAGGCTTTTCGAAAGTTACAACAACTATGTTCTGGATGATGGGTATTCCGTGATAAGTTATCACTGATAACCGCTCTGACTCCACGCCTGTTACATACTTATCATCACGCTAAACGGCGAAAAATTTTCAGAGCACTATTTACGATATGAAAACAGAAAGCATGTAATATCGATGAGAAGTCGTCATTGACAACTTATTCGAGTTAACAGGACACTTGCACTTGCCATTGTAAGAGCGAACAGTATGTTACGTGTATAAGATTAATTAGGGTCAGTAACGGCTCTAATGTAGATGCATATAAACTCTATATTGTTGCCAGCAGCATAACCTTCCCAGCGCGATCCCGGGATCATCCGTAGATTTCAATCATGTATCAACAATCAGTGACTGAATATAAGTCACGTACAGTATGGAATATGACGAGTGTCGTAAAGTTTCATCTCGTACGTTACGATAGCTATTTCACTCGAGATTTCACTTATTTCACTTGGTGAGACCGTTCTCACTAAAACTGAACTCAATTCTTTGAATTGGTAAACTCACTATTACTTTCTATAGCTCATCACTACTGGAATTCCACTCTGTAACCACCTTTGACTAAATTCTCATGATGGTCCTCCATTGATG